TGTCCCGAATGTCCCGAATATCCTGGGTGTCCCGCCTCGCGCCGGACCAACCCCACCCTGCATACCGTGGCTTTCAGACCACACATTGTCCCGAGTATCCCCGGTGTCCTGCCTCGCGCCCGGCCAACCCCACCCTGCATACCGCGGCCGCCAGACCCCACGTTGTCCCGATGATCTCGCCTCGCGCCCTCGACGAACACCACAGATCACAACATGACATAACATAACCAGGCATAACATAACACACCTTGACAACACAGCATAAGATAACACGACAGCAGAGTATAGCGACGACGAACACGACATAACACAACATGACACAACAGAGCATGGCAGAACAGAACACGAACATGACATAACATGACATACCGTACCATAGCAATGTCATGACATAGTAGGGCGTAGAAGAACATCACAGCACATACCAAAGAAGAACATGACATAACACAGGAATACATAACAAAACATACCATAACATAACCAAGCATACCATAGCACGCCATGGCAGGACATATCATATCATGACACCACATCAACACACATATCATAACACGACAACATACCATATCGACACATACTAGCAATACATACCATAAACTACTATACGGAGCCGAACCGTGAACAAACAGGACATCACATAACATACATGAACAGAACAAGGCATACCTGAATACGACATAACAAACTATAGGAGAACATACCCGAGCACTACATAACACCCATTGACAACACAAATCATACCATGACACCGAATCACATAACATATCATAACACGGCAGAAGAGCATAGCGACGACGAACACGACAGAGCACATGACACAACAACCCACACCATAGCAATGCCATAACATGACAGAACATAGCATTGCAATGCCATGACAGAGTAGAGCATGGCAGAACATCACAGAACATACCAGAGCAGACAATGACAGAACGGAAGACAACATAACACAACATATCATGCCAGAACCGAGCATACCATAACACACCTTGACAGAACAGATCATACCATGACAAATCATCACATCACATAACATCGCACGACAGCAGAGTATAGCGACACATACTAGCAGGGCAGATCGTCCTATACTATACAGAGCCGAGCCGTCAACAACCATAACATCACAGAGCATACCAGAGCAGAACATGACAGAACCGACGAAAGCACAGCACATCGTGATAATAATAGTAAGCCGAACTGTCAACAACATCACTGAACATAATATACTATAGGGAGCCCGGCTGTCAACAGCATCACGGAACAGAGCATACTATAACATAACCTGACATACCATATCACGTCATAATAGAATGCCACCGATCAGCCCATGCCATGACATCCCGAAGCATATGGTGTCAGAGATGAGCATAACATAACATACGCAATCAGACGAGAAATACTTACGTGCATCTAAATATAATAACAGACGGCGCAATTAACGTCACAGGCATCACGACGTCACGACGTCCCATCGAACACACAACACGACATACTGAAGCATACCAATGAATGATGTAACTACATGGAACACAGTTAAACCGTTTTGGATCCAGAATGGCAGTTGTCAGGTGGTGGAGAAGAGTACCACGACAGAATAGGACAACAACACATACTAACATAACAAATCCTACTATACTATACTGAGCTGAGCCGTCAACAGCTACACGGAACAGAGCATACTACAACATAACCTGACCGACCATATCATGTCCTAACAAATTGCACCACATAACAGAACACAACATAACATACCAACGCATGCTGGTGCAAACTCGAACATGGCAGAACATATTTGAACGAAAGAGATAACGGAAGGGCCGAGGGATATCATAACATAACATACCGTACGTACAGTTTGGTCAGCGTGGCCACAGGAACCAACAGTCGCAGCAATGGGCGCTTCGACGATGTGACTAGCGTGACAAGTGTCACGACGTCACGCTGGCACGTCGAAATCATAATATCGCAGAACACACTGTTACTACATTTGGCAGAAATCTACCATACACGCACTATAGCAGACCATCACGTATGCAGAGCCAAAACTCCACGGCATCGCCCAGGCGTCACGACGTCACGACGGTCTGTCGAGAACTTACCTCCTTCCCTTCCTCCTTCTCCTCCTTCCTAACTCCTCGTCCTTTTCTGCGTCTTTCTGCTTCTCTTACCTCCTCCCTTCTCTTCGGCCTCGTCCTCGTCCTCTTCGTCCCTCCTCGTCCTCTGTCAGGCTATGTTATAGTATGCTCTGTTCCGTGAGGCTGTCGACGGCTCAGCTCAGTATATAATTGGTTGATTTGTTGTTTTGGTGTGTTTTGCCATGTCATGTTCTCTCGTGATGCTCATCTCCACATGCTGTTGTATCCAAAAGTGTTCAACAATGTTCCATGTGGTAACGGTCTATCATGTTATGTGTTGTTACGTCTGGTTATGTCCTCGACGGGCCAGTGCGACGTCGTGACGTTTTGGCGACGCCGTGGAGTGGTGATTTCTGTTTGGGCGATGTGATATGGTGTGTTTGATTGGTTCCTGCCCCGATGTAGTATGTGAGACTGTGTTCTGTGATGTTGTGGTCTCGACGGGCCAGCGTGACGTCGCGACGCCTGTCACTTCCACAATGGGAAGGAGAAGGAGGAGGAGGGAGGCGGACGAGGAGGACAAGTAGGGAGGAAAGGTCCGCCTCACCTCCTTCCTCTTCCTCCTCCTCCTTCGTCATCCGCCTCCTCCTCCTGCTCCTCCTGCTGATGCTCTTCCTCTTCATCTTTCATCAGGCTCGGGCTCTCTACCCGTTTCGCACCGCACGTTTTCGAAGCTTGCTTTTTCGCCCCGGGTTTTCTTTGATTTTCTCTCGTCCGAAAGTCTGGGGTTGTTGGTTTGGAGACAACGGAATTTGCCACCCGTGCCGACCGCCGCACTGGCCGAGACCACAGGGCCCCGCGCGCAGCGTTCCAACAATCAGGCGACCGCGCACCGTCGGGAACTTACGCTTGGAGTTTCCGTTGGGATGGCTCGAAGCAAAATAATTGATAGCATAACGCGTCTTAAGATGACACGGCCTCCAAGATCGCGATGTGACGAGGATATCTCAGGCGAAACGCCCTGATTTCGGCGGTAGACAAACCTCTTTTTTATAAACCACCCTTCAATGAAAACGGCCTAGGACCGAAACCGACGGACCTGGACCCGCAAACATAGGCCGCGACGCCCTCTCGCGAACCGAAAACGGCCAATTCGCTGATCGACGTGCCAGGGTAGGAGGTCTATCAACCTCTGATCTTAAGATGACACGGCCTGCAAGATCGTGATTTGTCGAGGTTGTCTGAGGCGAAACGCCCCTGTTGGGAACCGACAAGTCTCAAGTCGGGCGTGTCCCCCTACAGGCGGATTTTGGACGAACAATGCAACATAGACAAAAAGCCATCAGAAATGATCAAGCGTAGTCGACAAAATCGTCCCCAGACTACCTTTTGACTATGTTTGAACACTCCTTCCGTAGAGGGACAGGCCCGACTTAAGATTTGACTGACGAGGATTTTGGGTGACCCAAACGGGGGTCCAGCTGCATGGGGGTGGTGCAGTAGATTTCGGGCAAGTGGATTGCAAATGTATTGCGCCAGAGAAGTATTGCATTGTATTGCGAGTAATGTATCGCACGCGAAAATGCAGCAATACATTTGCACCCCCCAAAGGTATTGCAACCCCACAAATGTATTGCACCCAATCTATTGCACCACCCCCTTGTCGCTGGACCCCCCTGTTGGGTCAACCCGAAGGATGTCTCAGGCGAAACGCCCCCTCGTTGGGAACCGACAAAGGTCACAGGTCACGGTCCGGCCCCGCGCGTTCCCCTCCCGGACCCCCCCCGGCTGAGCAGGGATCCCTCGGGGCAAGACGTCCACCGCGCGGACTCCCTGCGCCCGAGCGCGCTTCCCGCCACCCCCAAAAAGGGGCCCTGGGGCACGCACATCAATACACACGCAGATCCCAAGAGCCCCCCTCTTTGCCCACGTGTTCCCCCCGACTGTCCGTAGTTCCACATCTTCCTGAGAATCGACGATTCATTGTGCCTGTGTGTTTTTTCCCCTCCTGGAATCCCCATGTCCCGAGGACAACTCGGGCGGCACGCTCATGGTTAGCAGAAGGCGTCTCGAAAACGACCCCCAATGTCGCGATCTGGAGAGGCTGTTTCAAGCGGGAACGCTGGTCTTTCGAGATCCGTCAGGTCGCGGCGGAGGAGCTGCCCCGCCACCGCTCTTCTTCCCCTGGATCCCCCCCCACTTGATGCAAAGTTTCCCTCCCGGCCTGGATGCCACGTTCCTCGCGCGGCTCTTCGAGCCTAGGCGCGCGTCCCGTCCTCCGCCACCGCCCAAATGCATGCTTGTCAATGGGCTGGTGAAGACATTTGGCCTTCTCGCCGTTTCAAGCTCCGAGCGCTCCAAGACGGCCCAAGAAGCCCCCAAGAGCGCCCCAGGACTGCCCAGGCCCCCAGGATGGCTGCAAGACGCCCCAACAGGGCCCCAAGGCTGCCCAAGAGGCCTCAAGACGGCCCACGAGGCCAAGAGGACTCCAACAGGGAGTACCCCAAGCGCCCCCCAGATGCTCCCGAGGCCCACCCAATACGCCCGAGGAGGCCCCCAAAGCGACCCAAAAGGCCCCAAGGAGGCCCCCCGAAAGCCCCCAGGACCCCTGCAATGTTCCCCCGAAGGGCGTCCTAAGAGATCCTCGTTTGCATTCGAGAGGCCTCTGAACCGCAGCCCAGGCACGGTGGCGTGATCGGCCGAATGCCACTGTACAAGCCACTCGGACTTCCAAATGTATGAAACGCATGGCCTAGTAACGCGCCCAAATGTTGCCCAAACGTTTGGCCACAGAGGCGCATCCTACAAGGCAAGGGGCGGCGGTGATTCGCCGTAGGCGTCTTCAATAAGCCCCTTGGGTGTCCAAATGCATGAAAACTAGCCGTGCCGAATTTTGTTATTGACGGCGGGCGTACCGATCTCTGGAGGTCGCCAGAGGCCTCCGAAGCTCCAGAGGTCTCCAGAGGCCAAGGCATGGCCGAAACGTCCAGTGGCACCGCGACGGCAAGAAGCAGGACGGGTGGATGGTGCGGGGGCGAGAAGGTCGCTGGATGGTGTACGGGTGCGGTGACGAAGAGAAGCAGGACCAGTGGATGGTCGCGAGAAGCAGGGCGGGTGGATGGTGCAGTGGCGAAAAGAAGCAGGACGGGTGGATGGTGCGGTGGCCGAAAGCAGGACGGCGGAATGGGATCGACCGGAGGTCGCCTGTAGACGTCGGGGAACGCGCCAACCTGGAGCAGGAGCCACTTGTTCAGCGAGCTCCGGTCACCACCTTTAAACTTGAAATCGTACCTTGGAGGCATCGCCCTGCTTCACCTTGACCTCCTCCTCCTCCTCCTCCTCTTCCTCTTCCACCCCTTGTACGCATACGCAACTCCTCCCTGTCACACCACCAGACGTGTCCGTTGGACGGGCTGTGCGTTTCGCCTGAAACGCCATCACCAATGATGGTCCGAAGCTTGAGAAGTCCAGCAATCACGCAACTGGAGGGAGATACCTCTCCAAAGTGCTGTGCTCTTGCTTGGGCGCCGCGAGCATTCGTCTTACAAGCGTGCTGCAGTCGTGCTAGGGGAGGGTTGTACTAGAGAAGAAACAACTGCATAAGCATTAACGTTCTGAGAAGGTATGAATATGAGTAGGTCTGAGTATGAGTAAGTCTGTGTATGAGTAGGTGTGTGGTGTGTTTTCTCTGGAGTCGGCGGCGTCCGAGTCATAACAATAACATCATCTTAGGATATGGGGAAAACGCAACTGCATACACATCAGCGTGCAGAGCTCCGCGCGGATGTCTTGGATCTGCGCTGACCCCCCCTCCCTCGCGCGCGAAGCCCGCCAGGGCGGCCCGACGACGATCTACGACATGCGCGGACCTCCAACCGTTTCTGGTTATTCAGAATATCTTTTTCAGAATAGTTATTCGAATAGTTAGTGAGTTTATAGTCATCTAGTTAGTTAGTTTGTAGTTGCTCGAGCAAATTTTCAGAATGGGGCTTTCGCCTCAGCGTCGCAGACATCCGTCTCAGAAGCTTGCCACACCTACGTGGGCCGAAGGGGGGCGATCGGATTTTCAAAGTTCTGCCGTTCCAGGAACTCCGCGCGGACCTCCGAAGGTTTATGTTCATGTCGTGGTTTGTCGCTCGGCAGGGGCTGCACAGTGCGAACCTGCCAGGGCGCAGGGGGACGGACTCCGAACGCCTCTAACCTTCAAAGGTCCTTACAAGGAGGAGAAAGAGGAGGAGGAGGAGGAGCAGGAGGAGGAGGAGGGACCAGTTTGAAGGGGCCCATGGGACACACAAGTAAATACACACAAATAAACAGATTCCCCATATTTTCTTATATTTTCTGGGTTTCTGTCTTCCCCCCCACTTCCCATATTTTCCTGGGAGCCGACGATTCATTGTGTCTGTGTGTTTTTTCCCCTCCTGACAATTTCAGGACCAGTCCTGATCACGGCCGAAAGACAGGAGGGGGGGGGGGGGCGAGGCCGAGCGCGCCGCCCAAAGGGGGGTGAAAGGGAGGGGCCGTGGCGCCGGCGGAGCGGCTGTGCGCCGAGCCCGTGCTGTGTGCGCAGCACGCCGGGGTGTTTCTCTGGCATGCGGAGTTCATGCACGGCGAAGAGTCAGCCTTAGGTCGGGCATGATCGACGCTTTGGAGGTCGGCGTGGACTCTGACGATCGGCGCGGGATCCCCCCTCCCCGGCGTGCGGAGCGCGCCCCATGGCGGCGCACATGGCGCCGCCATGGGGAGGGGGGGCAGCGCCGCTCGAGGAGCACCTTCGCGGGCCGCCGCACACGTCGCTTCATGCCTCGACCCTCGTTAGAAACTATACCCTCCTCCTCCTCCTCCTCCTCCTCCTCCTCCTCCTCCTCCTCCTCCTCCTTTGGACGCCCGAAATGGGTACGGAAAAACAATGGGTACAATGCCCAGCAACAAAAGTTGTCTCAAATCAACGGCGGCCGCTGTTGGGCAGGCGGCCTTCTGTCTCGAATGGACACAGGCCGCGGCGGCTTTGGGGTTGGGGTTCCAAAGGAGGCTTTGGGGGAGGGGGTTTTCCAGCAGGGGTCCCCCAGGGGCTTCGCACCCCCTGCTTTGAGAAGGCTCCGAGGCCCATAGGGGGGCTCTTTGGAAAACCACCTCCCCCCAAAAACCTCCTTTGGAACCCTCGGGGTTCGCTCCTCCCTCCTGCGTGGCCGGGAAACAGATCCACCTCCACGGCTTCGTGGACCGGGCCCCTGGGCCACGACCCCTCAGATGAGCGACGAAGGTCTCTGGTTTCGGTCCCCCCCTTTTTCTCTTGGCAGTGGATGAGACTGGTCCTAAAACCTCCTCCTCCTCCTACTCCTTCTCCTCCTCCTCCTCCTCCTCCTCCTCCTCCTCCTCCTCCCTCGTGGTTGTTGCGCGGCGGGTGCCGCGGGACAACAAACGTCACCGCCTGTTGGTAGGACCCTGGTCCTTCAATAAGGCCGCCGAAGCAACAATTCGTTGCCCCGCATGGGGGCGGGGTTCAGGACCTTCCAGGGTTGCAGCGCGCTCTTTCGCAAATGCCCCACATGGAACGTATCCCTGCGACCGCACACCCACGGGATCGCGGCCTGGGGAAACCAAGAGGTACCGATACCGCGACTCCCCGGACATCTCCCGGGGTGCGCTGACCAGGATTTCGAGGCGCATCCAGCGGTGGCGACGAGGGCCTCCGAGGAGGCCCAAAAAGGGGAGAACGAGGGAAGGGTAGAGGTATGGGTACCTTTTCCTCCTCTGATTTAACGGGCGAAAAACGGTATAAGATAAACTTTTTCGCTGTCGGGGGCGCCTGTCCCAGGGCGGCTGGAAAGTTTCTACCCTTACGGTGGCACCGTAGGAATATAAACTTTCCAGCCGCCCAGGGACAGGCGCCCCCGACAGCGAAAAAGTTTATTTTGTACCGTTCTTCGCTCGCTGACTGGTAGGCCGCGAGAACATGGACACGGACACGCTTCCCGCTCGTGGCGCCCGGCATCCCGTGGCCACCTCCCGCCCCCGCGGCACGCGTCCTTCACCGCCTCGAGAACGCCTTGGTCCTGCGGGGGCTGCCGACCGCTCGACTCCCTGCAGAAGCGCCGGCGCGGCATCGACGAGCAGGCCACAGGGAAACCCAACCGTAGGGGCCCACAAACACACAAATAAACACACACACACACACACACGCACTAATCCCAGGATTCCCCATGGTTTCCTGTATTTGTTGGGTTTCTGCCTTCCCCCCACTTCCTATATTTCCCATCTTTTCCCGGGAATCGACGATTCGTTGTATCTGTGCTTTCTCCCCTCCTGACAAACAACATGTCAGATACCAGCCCACGGCCAGCTATGCAACAAGGCAACTGCCCACCAGCCCCTGGTCCAGCGGCAAAGCCACGGCCGCAAAAAGACGCCTGGAACGCCCGGGGTTGGCGGCACAGGCCGGAGGCCTCTACATGGGGAAACCATTCGGGACCGACTCCGCCACTCCCCAGGCCTCTCCCGGGGGTGCGTCCTGACTAGGATTTCTAGGCCAATCCGGCGGTGGCGACGAGGGCCTCCCAGGATGCCCAAAAAGGGGAGAGCGAGGCGAGGGTAGCGGTGGGGGTACCTTGGCCTCTTTTGACAGCAACCGAAGAGCCACTGCTGTGAGCAAATCGTCAGGCAGCCTGTCCGGATACCTCCGAGATCCGAGTATAGCTAGATGGGGCTGGAGGGTCGAAGCTCTCGCCGCATCGCCGATGCATTGGCACGTCGACGGTGGGGGAAACTCGAGCCCAACATCTGAAGGGGCCCTGGGACACACAAATAAATACACACAAATAAAAATATTCCACACATTTTCCCATATTTTCTGGGTTTCTGTCTTCCCCCCCACTGCCCAGATTTTCCCAGATCTTCTGGGGAATCGACGATGAATTGTGTCTGTGTGTTTCTTCCCCTCCTGAACATCGAGCCGCCGCGCTGATGCATGGACGATGCGGCGCGATCCATCGACCCCGTCTACTTGGACCCCATCTGAGCGGCCTAAAGTGCTCGCGTGAGTCGTTGAGGACACTGCTTTTTGACGAACGCTTTCTGCAAAACTCGGCCTCCAGGGGCCGTCCTCAGGGATCTGGGGTCCCCCGATTGGAAGCATATGCGGGCGGGGGCCGGTCTTGAACCGGGTACACGCTGACATGGATTACGGATCCGTGGATCTTGCGCGTGGGCGCCAGATCCAAGGATCTGCAAGCCAATGCAGCCTGATTTGGCGACGGGTCGCGTCGGTTTTCGATGAGAACACGACCCGTCGCAAATGCGCGCGCAGTAATGCACGTCTGTGCTTGTGTTGCTCCCATCGTACCAGGACCACATCCCAAAACTGATTTCGAGCACCCGGAAAGCTGTCGAAAGAGGGTCGCAACCGTGTCGGACGTATCTCCTGGAACCCGGCGCGTTAAAACCCTGGAGTTTCGCCACTGTTTGGGCGCTCGACATGCTTGCTGGTGGTCAAGGCCAAAGTCGGCAGGGACATCAGAAGTCCGTGCTTCCTCGGTTGACGAGTGGCGACGTCGGAGGTGTGGAGCCTCCTCCTCTCTCCCCCTCCCTCCCACCCCTTGCCATCGCTCGGACGTCCATTCCCCGTGCATTCGTCGGTGTCGTGAATGCTTCTTTGCGAAGTAGTCCAGGATGCTCCTCGATGGTTCTCGCCGAGACAAAAAGCACACGTCCAAGCAATCCCAAGACCCCAAGCCCCCGTTCCTCCGAATCCGATCCTTCTTCCTCCTGCTCATCTTCCACCTCTTTCTCTTGCTCGTCCTCATACGGCCGGACCTGGAGCAGCAACACATCCGTCAAGAACATGAGACCCTCCGCCAGGCAAACTGATGAATATTCGTGGGTATCCTCCCTCAAGATGCACAAGAACATCCAGCGAACACGAAGCA